AAAGAAAAAAGCCGGAAGTGGCGCTGTGGCTCAAGTGGTAGAGCGCTAGCCTTGAGCTGAAGAGCTGAGGGACAGCGCCCAGGCCCAGAGTTCAGGTCCCACAACCGGACCCCCCCAAAAAAAAAAACTAGGTCTGAAATACAGTTTTGACAGGATTAGAGTTGTTTTTAAGAGAAGCTATGCATGATAAGGGGAAGGTTACAGGACATCTCTGTCCTTCCTCTCAATTTTGTTGGGGACCTAAAACTGATGTAAAAAAAAGTTTATTTTTAAAAACTAAAACAATGCCTTCTTTAATCTCATAACTCTTTAGCATCTGTTGAAGATTTTCCTTGAGAATCTTCATATTTCCAGGCTTCCTTGTGTGCAGGAAACTCAACTCAATGAAACAATTCAGGATAGTTCATTTTCCAGTATTCTTTAGGTAGATAATAGTAGTCCATACTTGCTTTGTAGTCTCAAGTATTACCAAATACTTGCTTTCCTCACAGCACCTAGAAATAGAAAATGTCAAGGCTTCTAGGAAGCTATGATATTTCAGATGATGACAGATCCCCAGTTACTCATGCCCAACCTAGAAGGAGTGGTACGTATCTTGTTTTCCCCCACTTCTCAGTCATTCTGTATAGGAAATTTTAGCTGGTGTGATATGTATGTCATATTCTTCCTCATCTCCTAGAGAGGAAAGAGGACATTTGATCATCTCATTTGAAAGAAGGACTTAGGTAACTAGGCAGGTATGTAGCAATAGTTTTTCTTTGGATCTAGCACATAGCACACACACACACACTCACTCACACACACACACACACACACAATTTTGGCTCTTCTTGTCACAAGTTTTATAGAGGCAAGCCCTCCACTCACAGGTGCTTGTGGTGGTTCACTGTCAGTAGTGACTGAATGAATAGGTAAAAGGCAAGTCCTTGATCTGTAAGTTATTCTAAGCAATAAAGACTAGGTGATGTTTTAATATTTGTCTCTTTAATTACTCCACAGTCCACAACAGGATTCTAAAGGCAGATATTATCCCCACTCCAATATTGTTTTACCTTGAAACCATAGGATAGTCATTCAAGATTTACTGAACATGGTTCTGCAATATGGTTCTTTTTGAATAAGTTTCTTCTTCTTCCACAGTTCATATCTATACTTAGATTTGCAGGTTTTTTTTTTTACAAGTTTTTACATCAGGCACATGTTTCTACAACTTTGGCAAAACTTATGCATTTTGTTGCTCTTCTACAATTTTGCTTCCTTAAACTCAGACCTTGGGCCACACCCTTTTGTTGCTTTATTCTTCAGATGGAGTCACGTGCTCTTTGCCCCAACTACATACATCTGTAACCCTCATATTCATGCCCCTATTTCTCACATGCTGGGATTGCAGGCATTCACAAATAGGTGTGACCAAATCATTTCTCCTTCTCTAGGGCAAAATGGCATTTTGCTTTAATTTGGAAATTAAAGTTGCTTTTAACAACCCATTTATACTATAATGTCTTAGCCTTTAAAGAGACTTCCTGCTGGATTTTAGAGTGATGAGTGAACAGAGAAAGTGATATTAAAGAGTTAAGAGGTAATACTAATTAAAAACTGAATTTAAAATCTACCTTGGCTAGAACTGAACATTCATAAATAACTTGCTCCAAAGGAAAAAATCTAACTTGGATCATAGATCACACACATGCACACACACACACATATATGCATATGCATGTACACACACGTATATATACATCTTAGATATATAATTTATAAATCACATTTTATACATATATAATTTCTATACATATGATTTATATATATATAATTTAGAAAGCTTGTTCCTATGATAAATTCTTTTGGTATAAACAAAAAAAAATATGTTAAAATCACTTTACCCGAAAACCATCACTAAACCCAGATCCACAGGGTCTCCACTTTATTTCAGGAAACGAAACCCAAGCAATTAGTACTCCACTGAAATAAAGTACATTTTTATATTCCTTCAAAGCAGGGCAGTTTAGAATCTTTAAATTGAAAAAAAAAAGTTCTTTTATTTTGTCGGTCATTCAGGCACTAACGCTGGTTACATACAATTCTCTCTCTCATTTTACAAAATAACCAATTGTTTACTAATGTCTAAGTCAAATGAGCTTATAGCCATTTAATTTTCATACTAGAAGTCAGAGAGATATTGACATTGCACAGTTACGTTATATTTCTTGACTATTGTCCTGATTTTAGTCTACCTTTTTTTTTTATTAGGACCAGTAGGCATTGCTGGGAAAAATGGTCATTTCTCTATTTACAGCAACTGACAGACTATGTGAGAGAAAGCAGAACTTCTAATGTTGTGACAAACTTTGCCATCTCTTTGTAAGTTTCCTCTCATATGTAGAAGATAGATCTAATATATATATATATATATGTATATATATATATATATATTTGCAAGTAAACACATACAGGGTGGTATGCAAGTGTATACAAACGTATTAACTGGAGTATGGTATTTACAGGAGAGAACTCAAATGGTCTAATCCCTTAGGCAAACAAATTCATAATCCAACAGAATGAGTACCAGGAAACTGGTGAGTGGATCATGGGAAAGGGAAGGGGGAAGAATGCAGTCATAAATATTCAATGAATATCTTGTGAAACTAGAAAATTTGAATGGAGAGGTTAAGTTTTCAGGGATGGGTTAACTGATGAGAGGACACTGATCAAGATGCAGTGTACTTATTTACTAAATTGTTGAATAGTAATTCCTCTGTATAACTTACAGATAGTAAGACTTATAAAAACAAAAGAACAAGGGCTGGGAAGGTGGCTCAGTGGTAGAGCGCTTGCCTTGCATGCATGAGGCCCTGGGTTCGATTCCCCAGCACATAAGCAGGAAAAAAAAAGCTGGAAGTGGCACTGTGGCTCAAGTGGTAGAGCGCTAGCCTTGAGCTGAAGAGCTGAGGGACAACGCCCAGGCCCAGAGTTCAGGCCCACGACTGGACCCCCCCAAAACAAAAATAAAAATAAAACAAAAGAACAAAAAACCCCTTCATCTTCTTTTAATTCAACCCTTACAACCTTATGTGCACTTAAAGAAAGCAGTGATACAAAAGCAGGAGGGGAAGACAAGTTTATTCAGAGAGTGTAAACAGCTTCAATAGGATTGTATTTGTTAGAAAATCTAATTTGGTCTGCACAGTGTAACAAAAGAAACATTCAGAGCAGACACCAGTGTAAGTTTAATTGATAATTTATTTGTGAAAAAAAGCTAGATTTTTGTGAGAAAAGTTTAAATCCTTTACTTGCAAGCATAAAGAAACTCAACAGGAAATGTAACGGTCAGAACACAGAACAGTAACTCTTATACTCCTTCCCAAGTAGACAAAGTAGAAGTGTTAAAAAAAAATACTTTCTAGGTTGACTATAGTGATTCATCTATGAATCCTGTTGTTCCAATTGGTTTTTGATTTAAAAAAAAATCAAGCTTTGTCTAAGAGGTAATCACATCTAGCATTGGCAAAAAAAGAAATTATTTTCCTACTCCCCTACCCCCAAAGACAATGTACATCTAAACCTCAAAGCATGAAAAACTATGGACTAGAATATCTTATACAAATCAACCAGCTTCTCCTTTAACGAAAGTTAAGAGTTGTTTTGGACTGACTTTTCAAGAGGCACAAGCATATCTACAGGAATTAGGCATTGGCAGTCCAATCATTTCTTTTTTTCTGAGATTACCATTTAATTCTTGGTGATAGGTCATAACGGGTGTGCATTTTTGTTTGTTTGTTTGTTTTTTTGGTGTGTTTGTTTTGTTTTTGTTTTGGGGTTTTTCGTGTTTGGCACTTAAGTCACCAACATCGCGGACGACAAAGGAAGCGAGGTGTGTGGATAGAGTGACAGGGCGTTGCATCCGACCAGGGCCAAGAGCCAGAACGGGTTTGCTTCTAGGAACTGGGTGATTTGCTCCGCTGTTTTTCCTTTGAGGTCGACCCGGGACTGGACGAGGAGGCTCCGGCTTTGGCTTTGACGCTGCTGCTCGTCGTCCCCCCTTCCGCAGTCCCCGACCCCACGTCTTCGTCGTCATCTTCGAAGAGTTCTTGTGAGAGCAGCCGTCGGGCCAGTTTGATGCTCAGTCCCTCGCTGTAGTGCAGCTTGCGCTGCGTTTCGAATTTCTCTCTCTTCTCCTGGTCCTGGGACGAGAGGCCGCCCTCCTCTTCGGTGCTGCTGCTTTCCCGCTGCCGCAGGCGGAACTTGGGTTCGGAGCCCACCGCCGCCGAGAGTTTCTGCGCCAGGAGGGCCGGGCTCACCATGCCTCCCGAGGAGGCCTTGGGATCCGAGAAGATGTCGGGGTCGTCGTCCATCAGGGTGAAGTAGGGCGTGCCTGGCTCGTCCACCTTCATGAACCCGTAGTCCTTGCCTGCCGGGTGGTAGGTCGCCAGGATGTTCATCTCATCCCACTTCTGGGATTTCTTATTCATCTCCTCCTCCACCTTCTGGCGAGACTCTTGGGGCGTGACCCCCACCGTGGAAGCCCCCGACGTCTTGTTCTTCAAGATGCCCTTGAGGGGCGGCTGCGAGGCCGCCGAGGTCGCCATGGCCCGTTGAGGAGGTTGTTGATTCAGGGTCGCTGCTGGTGGGGTCCCCCGAGGAGCAGCGGGTAGACAGAGGCCACCAGGCCGAGCCGCCGAGCCCCTCCCCCGGCCGCCACAGCAGCTCACCTGTGTACCTGTCGTAGCACAAACGACCCCCGGGGTGTCGTTGTCACGACACAACGATCACAGGACCAGGACGACGACGAAGGGCGGCGACGACGACGACCGATGCCCG